AACTTTGAGGTGATTCCCACATTTCTTTTTATATAAGTTAATAATAAGAATAATACAGTCCTGATGGTAATTTGTTTTGGACAGTTACACATTTTTTGTTTTTCAGGCTCTGTGCTTCACTACAATCATGTGTGAGCTCTTTTGTGTATGAACTAAGACTGAAGCGACCCAGGTGCCAAAGAAACATTTAGTTGCCAAGTGTCCAATTACTTTTGAACCCCTGCAATTTGGGCACTTAGTGTTAAAAATCCATATCTCACACTCATATCTTTCTATATTGATGTAAACCTGCTCAATTTATAGACTTGGCACTTCAATGTAGTATCTATTATTTTATGAATGAAAGGTATGGAGAACAGAATCTGTAGAACAAGAATGTGTTACTGACCAAATGTCTACTTTTCAGACTGTTTGTAGACCACATGCATGACTTACCCCACTTTCTTATCCGGTTCATTTATAGAACATCAGTGCTTCGCTACACTCTAAATTGAGAAACCTGTTTTTCAGGTTTTAAAGGAAGAAGGCCCTCCACACATGAAGAGTTTTGTAGTGCGTGTCACAGTTGGGGAATTCACTGGCGAGGGTGAGGGAAAGAGTAAAAAGATTGCCAAGAAGCTGGCAGCAGCAGCAGTGCTGAGGGAGTTGAAGAGGCTACCCCATATACCCAGTGTGGAAAAGACGCTGCCACGCATCAAAAAGAAAACCAAGTCCATCATCAAGGTAATACAAGTAGTTGGGTGGACTTGAGGATAATCAATATGGACCCTAAGAATCTTCATCAAGTGATGATTAACCTGTCATACAAACAGCTGCAGACCAGCCCAGAGTATGGTCAGGGTATGAATCCTATCAGCCGCCTGGCTCAGATCCAGCAGGCCAAGAAGGAGAAGGAGCCGGAGTACAGCATGGTGACAGAGAGAGGTCTACCGCGACGCAGGGAGTTCGTCATGCAGGTGAGTCAACAGTAACTGAGGCATGCCGGTAGAATAACCTATACAACTTATGGCTCTGTTTTCCTCTGCCTTTGCTTGTTCATGACTCTCCCATCCAGCTCTTTGATCTGTGTATGCTGCATGTTGTCTGGTCCAGGTGGCTGTGTGTGGCCAGTCTGCAGAGGGAATGGGACCTAGCAAGAAGGTGGCTAAGAGGAACGCAGCAGAGAAAATGCTGGAGCTCTTAGGATATAAAGTGCCTCAGCCTCAGCCCCCTAAACCGGCGCTGAAAACTGATGAAAAGGTACTGCTAGACCTTTATCAAGCAGGTCCTGTAAACATGGCAGACATAATGTGTTCTTTGTTAAACCTTCATGTATGTATATTGTTTTTGTAATATTTAGACCCCAGTGAAAAAACCTGGCGATGGGCGCAAAGTGACCTTCTTTGAACCTGGCTCTATTGATGAGGTGGCATTAGGTGAGTTTTTTTGTTGTTTTTTTTTTTTTTGGAGATGTTTTGTACTAGACTCAGGTCTTTTGATGTTGTTTTTTTATAATTTGATTTATTATTTTGTTGTTGTTGTTTTTTTTGTTTTTTACAAATGTGATTTTCCTTTGAAGGTTCTAAGGAGGAGGACTTCCGGCTGCCTTACCTGAGTCACCAGCAGCTGCCTGCAGGTATCCTGCCCATGGTGCCTGAGGTGGCTCAAGCAGTCGGGGCCTGCCAAGGATCCCAGGCCAAGGACTACAGTCGAGCTATGCCCAACCCAGGCAAAGCCACAATCACTGCCATGATTGCCAATGAGCTGCTTTACGCAGGGACATCCCTGACTGCTGAGACTATCCTAAAGAACAAAAATAATCTGAACCAACTTCCCCATGGGCCCCTCACCAGGCCTTCAGAACAGCTCGGCTTTCTTGCGTCTGTGCAAGGTCTACAGGTAACCAACAGCGTGTTCTGCTTTGGTTCATGTGCATGCATTTGATTTAGACTAAAATCACTGAAATATTTCATTTGCTTGCAGGTGGAATACAAAGATTTTCCCAAAAACAATAAGAATGAGTTTGTGTCACTGATTAACTGCTCCTCCCAGCCACCGCTAATCAGTCATGGGATTGGGAAAGATGTAGAATCCTGTCATGATATGGTGAGTCTTTCAAAATCTACAAAAGATATGTTCATGGCTTTTTGGGTTGTCCATCCATGTGTCCATCTGTCCGTCCGTCTGTCCCATACTTAGTGAAGGCCAAGGTCACAAAATACATTTTTAGCCGTAACTCAATACTTCACAAAGCAATTATGACAAAACGTCACACAAGTGGTTAATATTTTAGATGATTCTGGATAAACAGGGATGTAATCTGACTTTACACGTCACTACTCAAGTGAGCAGCAGTTGCCTCGCAAAATCAATCCCTGCAGTAACTGAAATGGTTCTTTACCTCCACAGGCTGCACTGAATATACTGAAGCTGCTCTCAGAGTTGGACCAGCAGTCAAATGAAAGAACAGGAAATGGACCAGTCTCTGGGTAAGCCCTCACACAAACATTCTCCCCACGTAGATGTGTTTTATTACTCTAATGTTTTGATTAAAAGCTCCGTCAGAGTAAAAATATGTCTTTATTAGAATAAAGCGTCTCATTCTGCAAGATGCATTAATCTGTTTTACACACCCGTGCCTGTTTACTGAACTTTGGAGTGCAGATGCATTTGTGAAAAAATGTGTATACAGTCATTTGTGGCTCCAGAGCTACGCAAAGTCTGATAAACTGCCTCAAGTGATATCACTTGATTGCATTGATTCTGATCCTTTTGATCCTGTCCTTTTAGAGTCTGATGATGATATAGAACTGAACTGTTAAATTGTTGGGGTACTGTTTTTAGTCAAAGATTTTCCATTGAGAGAGGTTAACAGTGAGCAGAGATCATTTTACTCAATGGAGGAATATTTTAGCGCTGATTAAAATGTTGACAGTGACACTAAATCTGACCTGTTTTCCACAGGTGTGGCAAGCAGGAAATCGAAGGTGACTTGCACATCAAACAGGCTAACTCAAGCACATTGGCACAGACCCTGGATGGCACTGTTTAGATGATCAGGTTTGGTTGTCTGTAAAAGCACTAGAGAAAACTCAGACACTGTGTTCTTTGTCAGTTTTAGAAGGCTACAGGAAGCTTTGGGCTCCGTAGGCTCTAAACAATCACTGTTCATATTCATTGTTCCGAAATGTTCACAGTTAAACAAGACTGATAGGGAAAAAATTGTTTCTTCTCCTTGATGTTGTTTAATTGTACACATTATTTATTTTGTTGCTTTGTAGAAAAAAAGTAGCTGCATCCTAGTCAATGAGTTGAGAGTTTACTTGGTGGGGAAAAATGAAGCTCTGTGAACTGTGAACTCTTTTGTTTTGCCTAGAACTTGTTTCCTCTCTGTGAGACCTGCTAACTCTTGTTTTTAAGTGTTTTATGTTTTACCCCCTGCTGAGATAGTTCAATTATAAAGCTCTTGTTAAGGTTTGGACCTCATCTTTGCCTAGGGTGCAGCTGGCGAACCTCTGTTGATTTTCCTAGAGTGCTTTATATCAACAACCACAAGTGAAGTGTTATCTACATTACCATGTAGGGCTGGGAAGAATTTGTGACTAAATGTAGCGTGTTTGTAATGTGATGTTGTCTCTGCTGTGTGTGGCAGAGATGTTTCCCTGTTGATACTCCTGGTCCCTCCCTTATGTCAGCCCCCCTTCTCTCTCTGCTCCCCATGGTAATTAAAATTATGTGCTTACGTGCACAAAACAAAGACTTCTGTTAACTTGTCTTTTCTAAATACCAGTGGTGGAATATGTAGATAATCTAGGGCTGGGTGATTATTCAATATTATATTTTATCACCTGTCAGTGGTATCATATTGCAATGATATAGTTATATTGCGTCAACATTTTACAAAACTGTTGATCACAAGCAAATTCTAAGTATAAACTAATGAGAAGTTATTAAAGTTGTAATAATTTTCAGTCACAAGTGCAGTTTAAGGCTGTGTTTAGACCAACAGCAGCCTTGCTTGAAAAAAATGTAGCCTTGCCAGAAGTCAGCTGGCCAGCAGCAATGCAGCGGTCCCATCAAAACAATTTAAATCTTGTAATGCAAGTTTGCTGCTCTTATTTTTATTTGAGTGCCCAAACAAGCTCATTCTGGGACATTATGACAGGAGACATTTTAAACACATTATGCTGCGGGAAATGTTTCATTAGTCATCCCTCCTCCCTTGCATGAGTATATTTTTGGGCAGTGATTACGTTGTCAGTGTATCACTGCTGTCTTTTGCAATTAACCACATTTAATGCACTGGTCTGCAGTCTTGTAAACATATGTGTGCACTGACATAGGCATAATCCACAAGTGCAGCAGGCCCAGAATTTTTCCCAATTCAGTGCCAGTTTTCAATACCCAACCTAGTGCGGAGTTTGTATTTTTTCAGCAATACTACATCTTTCTTTGCTCATTTTCATGTCTTGTACAGTCTGAAAAGTACTCAGTGAAACACACATAGCTTGCTCTGAACAGACGGTGTGTTTGGGGCAGTAGTTTTCAATCATTTTATTTTATGTAAACATAATGCAGCACAATATTCAGGTACATTATTTAGTATCAGACATTAAAGACACGACCATTCCCATTTTGATCAGTCCAGGATTCAATCACTGCCCTGTCATTTGACAGATTTACAGTGAAAATATTTTGAAGGGACTTTAAACTTCCTCTTAACATTACTGAAATCTTTTTGGTGTGCTGATGACCACTTGGCTGAGTCGTCATCTAGTACAGGTTTCAGAATGATCAGTTTTAAAATCTCAAGTCCCTTCCATTTTGCAGTAATTCTGACTTTTGCCATGTTGTGACTGAATCCTGGCTGTAGCTGAGCAGTTTGGCTTACTGCTATTCACAAAAGCAGGAGGATTTTGTTTTTGTTTTTTTTTAAGTTACCATGGACCCTTTTAAATGATATTCAATTTTAATTTTAAGGTCTTAACTCCCAAAGTTGTCATAAATGTATTTAGGTATGATTATGCAACCTTAATGGAGGTATTAGACACTTGTTTCCTCATGGTATCAATGAAGGGGTACATGCACTTGTCAGACCCCATGAAACGATACACAACCACATTGGATTCCCATGGCAACAACCTGAAAAAGAACATGTGCAATTGAACTTAAAACGCTGTACTTAAAACATGAGCTGCTTAGCAATGAAATACAGGGAATGATTCATGTTCCAAAACAGACTTATTTCTGGTCTTTGATTACTATGAAAGTGCGGCTTTGTACTCACGCTCTGGAGAGGAAAGGCAGGTAGGTGAGGCGAGGGATGCACACCAGCGGTTGGTCTATCAGGATGGCGTTCATGGCCTGCTCAACACAGTACTGGGGCTCGAGAGGGGGTAGCAGCAGTTCCAGCTCCTCCCTAACAGTGGCACCAAAGAACATTTACATAACCTAAACATACAGCAGTTTGCCAGTAGAAAGGACTGCCACTTCTTTCAACACATGTATAATAAAAAATACTGTACAAGATTCTTCAGTTGGAGGCGATTACAGTTGTAGACGACTAGTTTAGCTTCAAATATCAGCAGAATATCATAGAAACCCTTTCTATTACAGATTCCATAGTTGGTATTTGTTTTCACCGTTGCAATAACTTGACCATGTCACTTGCATTATTTTAGTGAAAATAGCAACAGAGATGTATATTTGGTGTGCACGTGTTGGTGAGTAGGATATATTCAAGTTTACATGCAGAAGCTATATCATACATAATCCAAATTCTTAATACTTCCAAGTGGGTCTAATTCAGTCCATTTGTCAACAATCATTTTTGACGGTAAGTAACCGTTATTTTGTTGACATACCGTATCTTGCAGCCGTCAAACATGCCTGTGTCCACAATATAGGGGCACACGAGAGTAGTCTTCACTCCTTCAACCTCCTCAGCCAGCAGCTCATGGGCCAGAGACTCATGGAAACCCACTGCAGCAAACTTGCTGGCACAGTAATCCTGTCCCAAATCAAACAAACCACACAAAACACACATCAGAGCTGGTTTACAGTGTCTTCACAGAAATGAAATATTTAGGAACCATCGTTTTCTGATTTCCAAAACCACCTCAGACTTCTTTTTACATGACAGGCATTTGAATTTGTCACATGAATTGTAAACTTGTGTAGAGAGGTGTGTTAAAGAGTGTAACAGTAAAGCTCTCATATCTTAGTGTAGCAGTGATGTTTCTCCCTCCCTGGTTCACCTCGACACAAGCCGTGCTGAAGAGACCGAGGACGCTGGCGATGGTCACGATGTGTCCATGATTCTGGGCCTTCATCTGGGGGAGGAAAGCCTTCACTGTCTGAGACACACACACACACACACACACACACACACACACACACACACACACACACACACAGACATACACATACACTGTTATTTTGCAGTAGGTTACTAGGCAACACACTGTGCAGTGTTCATATGACTTGTGGTGACTTAAATATTGTTCAATTCGAGGGAAGCTTATGTTGCACGAGCAGCTTCATATTAAGAGGATTTATGTGGGAATCCTATAGTCCATAGTGTGAAGGGGATAAAGCTGTTAACGCAATACATTTTACATGTCATGTGTCACCCGACGCACAATAACCTGCTCTGTTTAGCTGACGGTGTAAAGCATCTTAACTTTTGCATTTTGAAATTCAAAGTCTAAATCCAGCTCTCCAAATATCAGTCAGTGCTGAGTCATTGTCTGCGTGTCCTACAAAACTGGGTTATAATGTTTTTTACTAATCATTGCATGAAATTGTATTTAAATACAATGGGTCCATTGATAAGTACTTGCTCTTAACATTTGAACGTCATCACAGTATGGGCTGCTGATTTGGAGATGTGGACCAAAATAAATTGACCCAAATTACAAGAGAAAAAAATGTTCTCACTTCTATCTCTGAGATTACGAAATGCACAAACCGCACTGCCAACACTTTTCATTGGGGTTATTTCTTTGACAGAAAATAGTCCAAATGAAAATATGTCTCTCAGATATGGAGCTCTTCAAACCTGGGCAAAATAAACAATCATTTGAATGAACCGAGCCTTTCATACAACTGGCAACATTCAAATCAGTTATATATTGGCCTTCTCTGTCTTTTACTTCTTCATCCATATGCCAATGCCACACTGAGTTAAGAGTATCTCTTCTCACCCAGAAGAGGGCATGACAGTTGACTTTCATGGTCCTCTCCATCAGTTCATCAGGACAGTCTAGCATGCGCTCCCCTGCCACCACTCCGGCATTGTTCACCAGCATTGTGACGTCTCGGCCCAGGTCCTTTCTGACAAGCTCTGCATTGCGATACACGTCCTCCCGGTTGGTCACATCCACCGTGTAGGTGTGCGCCTTGCCCCCCATCTCACGCACCAGCTTGGCTGTCTGCTCGTTGGAACTGCTGTTGATGTCCCATAGCACCACGTCTGCACCGTGCTTGGTGAACTCCTGAGCAAAGAGACGACCCAGGCCACCTCCTGCTCCGGTGATCAGCACCAGCTCACCGTCAATGGGCTTGGTGCGCGGGCGCAGGACGACCCGCACGGAGTTGCGCAGGATGAAGTAAATCACATCCAGCAGCATCATCTGGAGGTCCATGAGAAAAATCATTTTGATCTAATTTGCTGCTGATGGTCTTGAGTGCAAGAAAATGGATTAGACTTCACACCTGTTCCCTGTGAAGGTTAGTGTCCTAAGTGTTGAATAGTGTGAGTGCAAAGGATGCAGACAGCCAAGCTGGTGTTTCCCTCCCTTTGTGACCCTCAGCCTCCATCCTTGGTTTATTTAAACACTCTCCTCCCAGATTAGAAATACCTAAGCTCCTAATAAAACCACTTTTGTTGTAAGCTGTGAATGTATGCATTTTCATTATTACTGAGGAAAATAACATGTGCCAGACGGCATTACAGCTGATTCCTGAAGTTTGAAGGTCTTTGCAGGACACCTTTCAAAGTTCACAGCTCATTCTGATCATAAAGCTGTTTATGCACAATGTGAAACGAAGCTGTATGAACCTGAACCTCAGCTGTATCAGTGTCAAAAAATAAAAAACAAAAAAATTCTGTCATAGTTTTTGAGCAACACAGTCAGAGAATTGAGAGTTGGTGTTGAAAAGCTTCCAGTGAAGTACAAACACTTAAAAACTTATAAACTCTCAGGTAGCTCGGACAAAAGGACAGCACAGTGGCTTGTAGATTAGTTGTAGTTAAAGTGATGCAGTGAGCTAAAGTTAAATTAGATATGGTGTTCAGCAAATCAATATCATTCAAGGATAAGGTTTGGTCCCATACGACCTCCCTGCTGCAGCATGAATCGTATTGAATGAGAACTTAAGGAGATTATGTATATGAACTGTAAATCTCTGCATTGTTAATTAAGACCCAAGAAGGCTGCTTGTTGTGTATCACGTTCTTGTTTTCTAGGTGAACACAGGCAGCCTTGTTTACTCCCAGCATGCATATGTGAGCCAGTCATTGGCCCATACTGGTGGATCAGCATGGTTTCACCCATTTATTAGAAATTCTCAAATTCTGTATATTTAAACTTATATTCATAAGATTTTTCTTACCTCCAGTATTTTTTGCAGTATAGAAAAAGAAGAATATAATAATTATTATTATTTCACAGTTTATTTTCATACATCAGTGATATAAAAGCAAACCACCCTGCAATATGGGAAGTAATTAGTAGGTATGTTAGCTACAAAAAAAAAAAAGACTCTAATGTAAAGCTTATTTATGTGAATATACATCACTCAGGTGAACAACATGATGTGTTACCAACATACAGCTTAATATATATATTATATATATATATTAATATATATATATATATATATTATTATATATACATGCAGAATGTGGAGCTGTGTCAGACTGTTTGCCAGCCAGTTTCTCTGTTACAAATGAATACATTTTGACTGCAGTGTTTAGTATGGGAAGCCATTCCAACCTGGGCTCATCCTGTCTTCTGTGAACTGTGTTAATTGAATCTGTTTAACTTTTAAGACACAACCCATGACCCAAATATTTAAAAAAAAAAATGGTTTAAATTGCAGGATTGTACAGTGAAAACTGTAATTGTGTTGTGAGAACTGCTTTAGAAATGATCATTTTGAAAAGAGAATCCTCACATTTCTTGATGAGAAGATCTGATGGCCTGAGATGTATATCATAAGAACAGGAGAGAGGGTGTGACTGGTGTCTACACTGCGGCTGTATCCAGTTTGTTCTGACTGTCTGTTTACTGGAGCAGCAAATGGGTGAGGTCCTGGTCTTTGCAAGCTTTACAGCTCTGCAGATACACATTCGGGCGACATGATAGGGCCACACAAAGGGAGAAGAAGCCACCACTGTTACCTTAATGCTTTTTGCTAAGTCTGGACATATATTTCTCTCTTACACAGAACACAATTCTTAGACTTGTGCTTGGTTTGCAGCTCCACCCGGGCCCCTTCTCTTTCTGTCACTATCTCCTCTCTCTCTCTCTCTCTACACACACACACACACACACACACACACACACACAGTAGCAGGCTACTAGGAATCTGAGTTTGAGTGGAGGCCTTCACTGTCCACACTGTTGTTCTTTATGCATGAATAACCTCAGCCATAGGAGTTTCATTAATCCACCCTTTTCACATGTTGAGGCACACATGAGCCGGGGAAGTTAGCCGCTTCACCAGCAGATCAAGAGAGACTGTGTGAAGGAGGGAATCTGAGCAAACACATCGCTCAATTTCATTTTCTAACTGTTTTGCAAGTAGAGCAGTAGACCCGTAAACCTTCTTTCCTACACACTCTAATGAAGGTTTTTGCTGAAAGTGTCCTAAATGAAATGGCCTGCAAATGCAGCTCAATGTGGGTCTATATCTTCACAAGCAAAGCTTCAGTGCATTTGGCGAGGTAACAAATTAACTATAAAATCCTATGGACACACTTAAAGTCTAATGATTGCCTAATATGTGGTCTTACACAGTCTTATGAATTTAATTTGTGCGCCACCTGTTTCGGTCTAGCACTTTATCTACAGTGGTGAACTGCGCCTTTAAGAGATGCAGAGTTGACACATGAATAACTTCCAACCCACCGGCCACTGTTTGAGCCGCTGACCTGACTGACCACAGATGATAGGAGCTCATTATAACACCATTAAGGACTTAAATAATACCAGTGTGCAGGTGAATAATTTACTGCGACACCGTTGCTCTAACTTGTTAAAGTGCATCACTGGTTGTCTGTGCGGTCAGTCGTGATGACAGTGTGGAGGAGCAGCTCTGCCACTTTGATGTGTTGTCTCGGACTGTCTTTACTCCTCGTCGGTCCGTGCCAGGCGGACTGTCGGGAAGCAGGCCTGTGTTGCTCCGGTCGCGACCCGTCATGCATCAGCGAGGGATGGAGATCTGACCGATCATATGGCACCTGCTACTGCGACCAAGCGTGCGTCTCCACCCTGGACTGCTGCCATGACTACGAGACAGCCTGCCCAGGTAGGTGTGTGATGATGTGAGAAAAGAGACTGAGCTTGATTAAATAAAATTAGGATAAAACCTGAACAAATAGAGGTATTGCTTATAATAAAATTACTTTTTTAAATTCTATATATTTAATTTATATAGTAGGCGAGGTTTTGTATTAAAAGCCAACTTTTTAGGGGAGACTGGGGGTGGTTGCAGTACTTTTTGCATTTCTCTGTTACTCAGAAACTATTTGGACAAGACCAACCAAACCTTTATATATTAAACTTATATCTGCTCATTACCCATACCATTTGAAGATGATTACATTTGACATATCATTGTCAATTTTTTTATTTTAATGGCAGAATTCAGATGTTGCACCTGACCCCAACATGCTATTTTATTGCTTATGATAAATACAACAGGAAAATATATGAGAGGCTTACAAAAGTATTCCCAAAATAACTTGTTTGTATTCTGTTATGCATTAAAATGAGCAATTATTGTTACCACATTTGTACTATGTGGCGAAACTGGCTGCATAAATTGCCTATTCTGAATGAAAAATACTGAAAAATAATGTTGTGTGTTCTGTTTTGATATGGCTGCTTAGCTGCTAGCCAGACACACTTACCTTGACAAAGCTAACCACGTCACCTAGAAGTCAACAAAACAGTGATTCGGACAGACAGAGTACGTTTTGATTCGTTCATACAAAAGCTCAGGACAGTATGACAAAAATACAACTCATGAATATAATAACTTTAGTACCTTAAAATTTTTTTCACTAAATGCAGCAGCAGATGTTGAATGTGTCTTCTGTGTTCCTGGTGGGGTGAGGTTCTAACTGAGCATGTGCAGGATGAGGGTCAACACTCTAGCATGTTTCTGATTAGAGGAATACGACTTCCTGCGACCTTCCCTTGTTGCAACCGCCCACGGTCTCCTGTACATACTACGGAAAACTGGGTGGCATTAAATAACTGATAGCTGTATTGTATCTACCTATGTGACCCTTCACAAAAACGTTTTCAGGCCCAGTCTAAGTGAAAATGTTCTGACTTCTTGAATGTGGCATCTTGATCTCTAGACATACTGCATGAGGGATATGAACTGAACTCTGTGATGCTGGTTTTAGTTTATCATCAGCTGTTGTGGTCTGTCTCCTTCCCCTCAGCGGTGTCCTGTGTGGTGAGTGAGTGGACGCAGTGGTCAGGCTGTGCCGAGCCATGCAGGGCCACAGTTCGCAGGCGGAGCAGGATCATCCTGCAGGAGCCGCTCAATTCAGGGAAACCCTGTCCACATCTGGAGGAGCATGCTGGCTGTGCAGAGTACTGGTCGAAGCAAGGGCACTGTCACAACTCACTTGGTGAGAAAAATCAAGCTTGATTCTTCCATGAATTCACAATCATGTGATGACTTTATTCTGTTATCCTATATCAGCTGAGGAGAGATCTCGCACTGGGTCGGATGTGTGATTGGCAGATTTTGTGATGTTTCAAGTTATTTTATGAAGAACTTGATTGGCTTAAAAGACAACTTTGGTCAACAGGTTCATCACTGGGACAGATTATAATTTCTTAGTCCCTAGCAATGTCAAAAAAACAAACACCCTTTAGCTGTTAACTGACCCGTTAAAGACACATCAGTAGAAATCAAATATACCAAACAACCCATTACATTAGCTTTTCATAGATCCACATCTGAATAACAGATCAAAGGACAGATTACACATCTGATTCTCCAGTAATTAAATGTAATGTAATGTTACTCTATGTTGGTATTTTTTAGGGAGGATATTCAATGAAACAGAGAATCACTTGCAGAACAAGAGATGTTTTTCATTACTGCCTTGTTGTCAAACAGTATAAGATAGTAGAAATTTAGACTTACTGAATATAAAAAGTTGTGATAATCCATCATGTGCAGTTGTCAATCATTTAATTAATATGGTCCATTATAGACTACTCAATGCCTTAGGAGAACATCAATACTTGCTTGAATTAGGAATAAGGAGTGTTTGAAAAACTTTCTCAAGGATTTATATAGTTGTAGTGAATACAGCTGTGCTGTTGCTAATACATATAATATATAAGAGTGATGGAGATACTGATGCATTGGGTCTTTAGACATAGTGGTATATGGAGTATCATTTATAGACACTGCCCCAACAGGTCAAACCTATCTAAAAGAAATCACCTGTTGACGTATCTGATGAAGCCTATGAATAAAGCTGTGTCTTCCCTTTTGCATCATTTCAATTTTTTCTCTCTTGAAAATGTAAAATAAATCGAACAAGCTGCTAAATGAAAAGCATTCATTCAAATGTGACATACCAGAGAATCCTATTTTTGTGAACATTTTCCCAACCCAGGCTCATTTCATTTTAAATGTATGAGACCCATACTGCAACATGTGGTCCCATGTAATGGTCTTATTATGGATGCTCCCTCTGCAGTCCCAGCTCTAATAACCACAGGTGGCTATGGCAACGCCAGGAAGAAAAGAGACATCCCTGACAGTGACAACATTATAGGGTAACACATCCATACAGTCCAGGAAAATGTGAAATTACCATCTTTTGTGTTCTCAGGTATCATTACTATATATTTTTGTTATTTTGTGTATGTTTGTGTGCATGTGTGTGCGTGTGCATGTGTGTATGTGTGTGTAAAACAGGTATTGTGTCCAGTTTCAGTTGACCTCTCTGACAAAGGGGTGCCAGCAGAGTGCAGGCCCACACACCCAGTGGATGCAGTACCTGAGGGAGGGCCACCATGTGTGTGTGGAGTGCCAGCCGCCAGCACTTGCTGCTGGACAGAGACACTGTGCCGGAGACGGAGAGGAAAATGTTGAGGACAGGTAAGAAAGGAGAGAATGGAGACTGTGGTTCATAACAATGTACTGTAAGACCACAAGAAGTTTCCTTGCATTACAACATTGTCACAACACAACTCACAGCTTGTTTTATTTCGCAATGATTCAAATTTAATTGGCTGCACAAATTTAAGCTTGTGTTGATCAGGAAATGCTAATGACCATAACAGATAGATAAAGTGTTTGTTTTTAAGCCCAGCTGAGAGTTTATTCAGCCATGAAATTAGCTTGAAGTTAATTTTGCTTATATGTGAAGAAAGAAAATAACTTCACTACGCTAATAAAGTGAAGGTGACCTTTCTGTCCCACCCTATGTCATAGTTACAATATTGTAATAGTATTTTGTAATTACCAGCTAAAAACAGTGTATATCACAAGAGTACATTAAAAAAATAATTGCATATGGTATTACTCATATGTGACACACACCACTCTTGTCCTTCAGCAGGTATAATGATCAATACTAACAAAATCTGCTTTTGAACCCTATGTTCTTGTCAATATGCTCCTCTGGACAGGAAACATCAATTTTCTTTTTGGTTATGGCACAGTACTTAAACATGTGGGGAGGAATTAGCGGAATGCGATGGGTCCTTCTCTGTTACCTGCTGAGGAGCAGGTAACAGAGCAGGTAACAGAGCAGGAGTTTGGTGAGAAGGTAAATTCCCACTCTCATGTCTGTACAATAACAAAAAACATTTCTATATGTCTGCATTCTGAGAGGTGCAGTGGCATATGGAGTATGTAGGTCAGTTGTAACAGGTCACATTTGTAGAATTTGTTTGTTTGTTTTTCATCCCAGACCACTGATCTACACCGATCTGATAGGTACTGTAACAGCAATAACTACCACTAGATGGCAACATTGTTTATCACTTGGACTTAAAGAGAAATCTTTTGAGCGCTAACAATCCCCTCTCCCTCCTTCCTGCAGAAGACAATCTCTCCAGTGGCAGGCGGTGGGAAACCCTCGATGCAGGGGTGTGTGGAGACGTGTTGGGAGGCTGGAGGCCTGCTCCTGCCCAACAGCCCACAGCTTCCTCTTCATCTGATCTCCTCCTTCCTTCTGTTAGCCCCCCATCAACCTCCTGTACATATTTACCAAGAACAATCTTCTAGTCGTCAAGATTGCTGGTCAGTGGTCAACTTTGCCTTTTTACAATGACCAAATGTAACCTGTGACTCCATATAACTACAACTGCATGTAAATGTAAAATATACTTATTTCTTAGTCAGAATATAATAAATCTTCTACACCTTTCTCCACAAAACAAGCTTTAATAGTACACATTCCTATCTACTTTGGTTTGCAATTCCAAAACTTGAAAATGAAAGTCAGCAATTCCTAATCAAAATGTAAAGTGATCTGATTTATTTTGTTTTGAGTCATCAAAGGGAAATGTTGCTTTTCTTAAGAAATAGAAATATCTTAGGACATTGAGACACTTTTTGTTTTTACATGACAAGTACTGGCTCTGTGTGAATCACAACCAGTCACAACGCCAAAGTTACAACATGCACTGAACAATAGAACATTTATACAGAAACAACAGCATAGAAAGTCAACAGGTAAAAATGTTTTTTTGTTTTTTTTTTTACAAAACAGACAGCCTCGGGACCTACAAACAACATTGTATAAGAGCTGGCTATGGTCGTTCAAATATCTTTTTTCAATTCCCTGGAAACAGTGTACTTTACAAAGACTGATGGCTTAGGCAAGGTTGGGGTCAATTCCACTGAGAGCTTAAAATGTAGAAAAAATATAGTTTATGTTTTTAATTTGTACTAGGTTTAATTTGTGTCATGCTCTAATACTGGTTCCCTTTATAGTGTCATGTGTGATGTGTGTTTTACTTCATCAAGGCATCTTGAATCGACCCCAACCCTGTAATACAGTGTTAGATTCAGAGTGTGTGGGATTGGGCTACTTGCTAAAGCAGTGGTTCTCACTGGGTTTTTGAAACTACCACATGTCCCTGAAAGGGTCCTATGGGGTTATAACAAAGATGAAAAAGACTTGAACCTCTTTACAGTTAAATTTAGCAGCAGGTGCAACAACCTAACTCTATTTTAGATGTCAGCTAAATGCATTTACTGTACAGTTAGGAGTCTTTTAATGGAAAAGTTTGAGAATCTGTGCTCTTCATCTTAATTTGTATCAATAAATGAGAAATAAAACAAGTCACTTGATTGGGTTTTCCTTGTAAAGCGTGATGGTTTAGTCCTTTGATTCATATCAGAATTTCTCCACAGGGATCTCAGTGAAATTAAAAGCTCTTTTAAACTAGTTTGTAAATTTGAATGGCTCCCTTGGAAATGAAGGGGAGTAAAGTGCCCAATAAAATAAAAACAAGGATGATTTGTAAAAATAGATGGGTTTTTTTTTTCTTTTTTTTTTGTATTATGGTGGTAACATGTCACAGTATCACAGTCTAGGTATCAAATCACAATGTCATGCTTGGTGTTTCTTTGCACTACCTTGTCTGAAAGCCTAAGAGTATCAGTACTATAGTGTCAAGATTTCAATACTTGTGTGTGTATGCACATGGTTGCACATTTTTGTAATATGTGCCCATAATAAATCTCAGTTCTCTACAGTAGTGCTTGCTGCCTATTCATGAACTATTGATTGTCATCATTGTTGAGAGATATTCCAGTGAAAAATGGTCCCTGACTACCATAATATAGAAAACCTAAATGATGGGACAGAAGCTCACATGATGCTTCAGGGGGAGTTGTGTGATCTGAATGCCCTTTGTATTAGAGTTTTTAAATGATATTATGCACTCAGAAGGACAACTTTAGAAAACACTTTGAAATCGCCACAGATGTAACAGGTTTAAAGATGTCGAAATGTTTGGCATACATTGGCCTTGACTTTTCATGAGGTACAGCGCAATGAAAGAGTTCATCAGAAGCTAACACGTGAACCAAATGTTACCATCTTAACAAAACAAAATAAAATGTAATGAACCAAGTTTGCATGTTTATCAAGTTTTTTTCATTGTGAAATTGAACCCATGCCACTCCAACCTCACAATGTGATGTTAAGAATTATGCATTTTTTAATGGGAAAAGTATAAATTCTTGCATGAATATTAAGGAGCAGCCATTCATAACAAGTGACTTGGGGGAGACTTTTAAAAATCACTAGAGACCATCTGGAAAATGTTGAATATCTGCAGCCAGTTGTTATTAGATAGATATGACATATTTTCTCATTTTAAAAATCACATAATTTCATTTTTTAACACCTCTTTACAGACGATGCCTAAGTTTATGTTTTAAAATCCTTTTGAGGATGATTGTTTTTCTTTTTTGTGAACTTTGCCTCTGATGTTAACAGATACTTTGGTTTATTTGCAACAAAGGGAAAACATGAGTCATTTCACTTGAATACAAAAAAGAGCTCATAAAATTAACCTTGCGTAATTATCTGCAAATTTGTTTTGTTGCTAAATAACAATGCTCCTCCCATCCCTCCCTCCTCAACTGTAAATTAAGTAACACTTCAGAAATTAAATATGTGCTTAAGTAATCTTAATTTCTCATATGACTAGAGTTCTCTTGGAGTCTGTTACTGATGCATTTTACAGTCAGAATATGGAGAAAACGAAAGCGGGATCCCCCCTCCAACATGCATACATTCATATCGGAAACACTTTATTCTTTTCCATTATGTGGCAGCTACACTGCTCTAATGCCCTGGCTTTACGGCAGTCATACACACTCACACTCACACACACACATACACAGATACACACACACACACACACACACACACACACACACACACACACACACACACACACACACACACACATACACTGTTCCATCTGCCTCTCACAGTCATTGCTATTCCTTTCACACCTCAGCTCCTCTCAGCATGGGAGAGCAATATGAAATGGTTCAACTCTGTGATTAAAACAGGAAATGAAATCAGGGTTTGTGATTACACTCTTAACCACAACACTAAAAAATGTATGTCAAGCCCCTTCTGTTGACTTTCAAAACAAATTTCACTCACCACCTACATTTGTAATAGTGCAACTGCTTCTTTAATAGCATCCTTTACTGTTGTATTTGTATCGAAAAAGTGACTAAGAAAGCTTTCAGTTTGCTCAGTTTTGTTTGAGAATTTGTTGAGTTGGCAGTGAAGGGATTACAAAAATTCACAAGGGAGCAAGGAGCTGTATTTGTAACTCTGCTCATGTTCTCCTATGCATGATCTTAAAGGATGCGTATGATTTAATTGAAATTCTCAAAGTAGTATCAACACTTTTCAAGTATTCCTATTGTGTTCGTAATTTTATTTTCTGTCACTGCCTGTGGCTTGTTGCAAAATGAATTTCTTCGTTTCAAGTTGAAATTATTTATGCTCTTCTTTAGAAGACAAAACACTTTCATCCCTTCTTTCATTCTTTTAATACCAGTATAACGAATCTGCCTGTTATTTTTACTATGGTAAGTGACACTTATATGTTATATAAGACATATAAGAGTTTGTCTCTGCTATGTGGCAATATAAACAGATAAAAGAGAATGCATCGTGGGTTCCTAACAGTCAAGAAACCAAACCTCATTTATATCATTTATATTGTGTGGAATTATAATTATTTATGGAATGTTACAAAGATTTAAGACAAACATCAATGTACAAGGTCCTCACATCATAATTGTGCATTTACACAGCACTCATGAATGTGCACAGTGAGTATTGGCTCTGCTAATATGTAACTACTGTGCATACCTGTCACGTTATGGATGCATGCGTCTATGTGTGTGTCTGTGTGTGTGTGCGTGTGTGTGTTTGTGTTTGTGTCTGTTGTTATATGTGTGAGCATACATTACATGCAATCAGACTCTCTCGCCCCAATTAGCAAACCGTTGGTGAGCTGCTGTCAGCCTTTGAGGACAACTGCTGTCACCATGGAAACTAAGTGTATCCTGAAGATTGTCTTCCATAACTGTATGTATCTTTTGTGGGTGAGTGTGTGCTCATGCATGAGTTTCATCAGTTCTGGTATTACAACTGATTTACAGTAAAGTTAACCTGGTTGTGTATATTCAGTGCTATTAAAGTTTATTTTGATGGTTTAAGGAACAAAGTAGAGGTGGATAACTCCCCTGCTTCCAGTATCTTGTGCAAGTACATTATCTCCTATTATCTGAAACTGCGTGATCTCTTTGGCTGCTTTCATGTTGGTCAGAGGAAGGCCAATGCATGCTGAACATCTATTACTGGAATCTAAACTTAATGTCAGTAAGCTGTAAACATTAAAAAAAATATTAGAGGATTTTCTCATATTTAACTATTTCTTTTGATATGAAGAACAAGCAACTCATTATGTTTTTGTGTGTTGGCCAGTTGGGCGCATGCATGCTTCATTAATGTGCGCTTTATGCAGCAATCAAGATTATTATGTCTGGCTCTTATGTTAGCCCATATCAAAAATTCTTGGTCCACCACTATCATCCTTGAAAATGACACTGAGGTGCTAAGACAATATTCACTGGTGGAGATTCGAGAGACATGATAACATAGGGGATAGCAAAATACTGTTCAAGAAGTAGCGCTCATTATGATGGATGATGGGCTGAAGCCTCTGATAACTGCAGCCTCTGTGCCAAGACATTGAACCTTATACAGGATTACTCTTCACATATGATTATGACACAGGAGACTAGCAAATCACATATTTCTATAAGGAACTTTCTCTTAGCTATATAAAAATAAATCAGGTAAGACAATCTCAAGAGTGTGTATACATGAATTATAATTACATCATCCATTAGCATTCACACACACACACACACACACACACACACACACACACACACACACACACACACACACACACACACACACACACACACACACACACACACACACACACACGCAGACATACACACCCTAACAAATGCAAATGACTAAGGCCAGGTTTGGGAATGGAGGGCACAAGTAAGTAGCTTATAGGCTTCTAGGTCCTCTCCTGTATCTCCAAGACTACAAAATGAACTGGGACTCTGTAATGGGACAGTGGGCAGCTGGGATTTTGTTTTCCTAAAGAATATAGAGATAACCCCCTGCTGCTAAAACCACATCATTCAGATGGGTTACACCAGTTTCAACCACAAAACTGGACTTCTCTGACGAGCCTGCTTCCACAGGGATCTCTGAACAGACCTCTTGGCTACCAGGGAGTGCTCCTTTGTTTTGTGGGTGTGGAATACCGCTAATAGGAATGAGCTGAAGGAGGGGCAGTGACATTCTCCAATTTAGAAATGTTTTTCTCCCAGAGTATTTACCACACATGTTCACCTTATTATGCCATTGGGCTTGTTGCCCAATGGCATGCTCAGGTAATTTGTGAAATGTTTCAGTGAGACCCTTGTCTCTCCCTCTTCCTTTGTCTCTGGCTTATGGAGTGTTTGTAGTCTGTCTGGTGTCTTTATCACAAACACTCTGGTCCCAGTTTCCTGTTTGTTTCTGCTCCACTTGTACCTCAGAGGTTTTTATCCAAAGTATTTTGACGCCCCCTCTCAACCTTTGGTCTACGTGCCATCTCATGTCCTACATGATTCTCAAGAGCGACCCCACGAATCCCTTCAAGGGGGAACAGACAATTCTGGCCCAGCATTTTCTGGGCTGCTTCTAAATGATTGGTGCCCCTCTGGTAATTGATGTTGATACTGCGTTTTGGGCTTGATCCTGCCAACAGACGCTCTGAGGGACTTGCATCAGAGATGTCGCGAAGGTGCTCATCATCATCTGTATCGGCATCAATGTATTTGCTGATGGAGGAGTCGTGGAAGGTGAAGACAGTTGGGGCCAGGGCAGTGCTCTCTGGGGACTTCGGTGGTGTCCTGCTACTGGCAGTGGTATAGACTGACACTTCAGGACTCAACAGAGAGTGGTCTGACAGGACTGAGTTGTCTGAGAGCGGGGATGGGCCTGACTCCCCCTCACTGCGGCAGCCTCCTTTAGGGATAAGGCTTTTTGAGGAGTTGCCAGAAAAGAAGAATTTTCTTGCATTCTCTGAGCATGAGGGCTTTGTGACAGACACGGGGGTCAGCATGGGCTCACGCTCCCCAGTGGTTTGCTGGCCTGTTTTTGTACTGGCGTGCTGGGACAAAGCTGTAGCCGGACTGTGGGAGAACCGGTTGCCTTCCTGAAGACCAAGGTCCATTGCTGGACTATGGGGGAAGCGTGGATTCTCCTGGAAGTCTGTAGCACAACTTATGTAGCTGTCAATGCTGGACAAGCTTTTCATGTCCCCCACTCCCTCTCTGGTTCCTAGGACTGGTGGCCTGTGATCTTGGATGGCCCCCAACTCTATCTCATCTCTCTGTTTGCTTACTCTGGAGCTTCTGTCTTTAGCATTGAGGTTGGGTTGTGACTGTGTCTTTGCCATCTGGTTGTACATCTCCTCTAGCTTCTGAACATTTAGCCTCTGGGGACTGGTAGCCCGGGCCTTGTTGGGAGAACCTAACTCCTGAGCATTGAAGGAACGATTTGAGCTTGTCTCTGATGCAGCCCTCTTGGGGGTCCATTTCCAACGACTTGGAGAGAGGTGGTTGTCATGAGGCCTCTCACTCTTCTCCACCACCACATCCATCAGTTCTGCACTACGAGCAAATGCCTCTTTCAAGTTCATTGAGACAATGCTACCATTTCTCTTTGCCCTCTCAAGGGCCTCTCTTCGTTTAAGTGCTTTTTCCTGCCTCTTCTGCTCCTTATAGAATTCAGAGAAGTTATTCACAATAATGGGAATAGGCAGGGCAATCACCAATACTCCAGCTATGCAGCATAACCCACCCACAATCTTTCCCAGTAGAGTCTTTGGGTAGATATCTCCATAGCCTACTGTGGTCATAGTAATAGTAGCCCACCAGAAAGAAGCTGGAATGCTTTTAAACTTTGTATCCTCCTCGTCCTTCTCAGCGAAAAACACCAGACTGGAGAAGATCATGATGCCCATGGCCAGGAAAAGTATGAGCAGGCCCAGCTCATTGTAACTCCTCCTCAAGGTAAAGCCCAGAGACTGAAGACCTGTGGAGTGACGTGCCAGCTTCAGAATACGCAGGATACGCATGATCCGAAAAATCTGAACCACGCGGCGGACGTTCTGAAATTGCAGCACACTCTTGTTGGATTCTGTCAAAAAGATGGTGACATAGTATGGCAGGATTGCCAACAGGTCAATGACGTTCAGAGGACCTTTGAAGAACTTCCACTTGTTGGGGGAGGAAAGGAAGCGAAGCAGATACTCCATGGTAAACCAGGCAATACACACAGCTTCCACGTGGGCCAGTTGTGGGTTGTCTGTGGACTGGCCAAACTCATCTGTGTCCTGCAACTCTGGAAGGGTGTTCAGAGACAAGGCAATGGTGGATAGCACAATGAAGAGGATGGAGATGATGGCCAGGATCTGAAAGACAAATTTAGGTAATATAAGTAAAGGTTGTAGGATCAGAGAATGACATACAGTATATCAGTTAAATATCAGATATCAGATATGCACTTAAGCTTACATTTCTTATTCTGATTAGTCAATTACACCCATACTGAAAATAAGATAAATGCAAATCCAGAGTATATATATATATATATATATAGTATATATAAAGGATTTTGATTACAGCATGAAAGTGCAGACAGCAAGTGAATTCCAATAACCTTATAGTCTAAACAAACCTTCAATAAATGCCAGACTAAGTGTGTGATTGGCTGAGAGCTAATGGATTGGATTGACTTGGACCACTTATTTATTCATGACTCATTTATTGGGCTTATCCACATGAGTGAGTGTGCTTGAGTGGAAAATAATGTTTAGCAATCAATATACAAAAGTAAAAGTGCACAGAATACAGTGAATGTAGTTAGAGGAAAAGTCGGGGATCACCAAAGTCATTAGGATTTATCTTTTTGGGCACCATGTACATCTCTACAAAATTTCAAGGCAGTCTATTCAATAGCTGTTGAGATATTAAACTAAATGCCAAAAATAGCAACCTCATGGTGGTACTACAGTAAAGTCAGTGGGATTCATCCTCAGAGGGCCATGAATATATGTGCAAAATTTCATGGCAATCCATCAGAAAAGTTATTGAGATATTTCAGTCTGGACCAAAGTCCAGGGACCAATCAATAGACAGAATGCATGGCTAAAATACATGGAAGACTTCTCAGATTTAGAATAAGCAAACTAACTCACATAAAAACCTCAAGAATTAGTATAGTCAAGTAGAAGCTAGATGGTAAATGAGAAGTTCTATGATCACAGACACAGCCCTCGAATGGGCTCTTCAACACCTTCCTCTACGCTAAGATTATCTCGTCTCATTATCTCAGATAATCAGACAAGCCCTCTGTTTTCACAGAGTGCTGGCCCTGCTCAGTATCCTCCAATTAGTGATCCAGCAGGCACCGGACATCAGTGTAATGTCAGAAAGACACTAGACTGTAATGACTCTAACGTTTTGGTTGGAAATCAAAATTGTGTTGACATCAAAATCCGTAGGCTAAGTGAGATTGTCATGTTTAGGAGCAGTTGAGTTCTCTGCTCACGACTAGAGTGTTGGTATTTTATACATCAAGATTGTGTTGGCATGAGACATTTGGAAGACATTGGATTTTGGTTGCTTAACAACACAACTTAAAATCCAACAAAATATTAACCTTAGCTGTCATCACTATTCTTTGTGAAATTTTGGTCACCCAGCGTCACAACCTACATTCAACTGAATATCAATCTCTAATGATGATGGTGGCCAGCTGCGTGCCTTCAGGGATATGGTGAATGTTAGATTAAACAACAGGGTGAAAAGCTGGCCTCAGGAATGTGATCATAGAACTAAGGTTACCAAATATAATCTTCATGCTATTTCACACAGGTTCCATCCTCTTATGGTCTCTCTATATTGAGAGGGATTGTGGCTGTCACTGCCTGTCACTTGCACCCCCATGTTGTGACACAATATGACATAAAGAAGAACATGCAACAGTCACATGTTGTAGGAGCTGAATTTCCCCAGAATCCACTGCACTAGATGATGTCTGATTCATATTCTACAGTACAGAGAACTGGGATGTCTTACAGAAAACAGAACCTTAGAGACACACACACAGGCACCCACACACACACACGCACACACACACACACACACACACACACACACACACACACACACACACACACACACACACACACACACACACACACTTCCCCACCTACACTCTACCAATCATGCCAACAAGCAAGTACGTGGTGGTAGACTACACCTCTTTTAGCATTTTATGACAGCTCCCCTCTCAGCCAGTATACATAGTGTAAACAAAAAAAATCACTGCAGTTTCTTTGAAGTATATTATTTTTGAGCTTCTTTGATCTGAATAAGTGACTACTCCTTTATACCACAATGAGCGCTACCAGAGGAAATGTTGCACTGCTCTCCAGTCTGTATTATCCCATCAACCACGTACAACTCAGATGAAAGATACTTGTAAAAATAACCTGAATGATTTCATGTTTATAGGGTGTATTTTGTGATGAAGAACTGATAGCGCTGCATGCTACTACAAATTTTCTGATGTCACATCACAGACCAAAATTACATAAAATCACATCGGAACATATTTTCTCCTTCCTCAGAGGCATATAAACATGCAATCATTTTGGATGTATTTGCCCACGTTTGGACACATCAGCCACTGAGATTACATCTTAAACCCCAAGGAAGTTCAACATAATTTAATTTTTGTTATCGAACACAGAAAAATTATGTGTAAAACAACTGCCTAACCTGAAACGTTTACAGTCACTCTACATGATCCACAGACCTGTTAAAACCTCTGACTGGAACAGTTTACATTGGAACTATAGTCTTAAGAACTACTGAAGAAACTATGAAAAAGTCTATGAATACTGCTGAAAGAGAGATCTGTGGATTACTGAATAATGATAGGTGAGAAAGTCTTTTTTAAATTATTTACTTTCATATAATTTGGCCCATGATGATTACAAGTTTGGTTCTGTAGACATTAGTAGATTTATTGGCTTAGTATAAAAATATGCAAATTCCAAATTTGTGTGTTATTATTTTCACAGGTTTACTTCTGTACTCATGAAAATATCCAAGAGACATGGGCCTTCCCTGTTTTTAATCTGCTAATAACAATTTTATAGGAAGGTTGTAAAATCAACTTTCCTCAAACATGGGGATGAAGGGTACAAATCCAGCAGCTCTGTGCTGATCTTAGTGCTGTGGTACAATAGAACGACTGCTGCCTGACCTGAGTGATGGTGAGTCATAGAAGCCGCGTGGTCCAGTCGTGTGTATTGTGTATATTTAGCACAAACATAAATATACTCTGATATTCTGTCTTACAATCATTTTGATGCTTCTACACAGGTATTACACAATAAAATATTACATATTATTCTGATTACTGACAACTGGCTGAATGTATCTTGGTCAACTCAGCTAGGTAATGCAACACGGGAGCATCTGCTCCTTCAGTGGACAAAGAACAGAAGTACTTCATAAACTATTAGTCTGCACTTGTTATATTCACCCTAAATGACACCAAACATTCCTGATACAGGACCAAACAGCACAACTTAGAGGATGAGTAGGAGGCTGTAGCTGGAACACAGAGCCTGTTTCGGCGATAGCCCACACAAATGAGGTTAGGATGTTATATGATGAAATAAGTCACAGAATAGTTAAGATACTTTCCTCTGAAAGTGAAAGCAGCTAAGCCTTAGACCACAATACTGTGAGGCATTTATAAAACACCTGTGACATTGAGAATTAATTATTTCAGTTTAATAATTTAACTGGTAAGCTTGGCCAAAACCTCATTCATGAACTGGATCTGCTGGTTAAACACACAGTCATTTGTGTAAATAAACAGAGCACAGCACATGATGCAGGGTTTCCCTATAAATTGTCCAGAGGAAATGAAGGCACACAGGCAGAAATAAGGCAATAGCAACAGTTGTTAGGAGGTGATTGACAGCGTGGGCCTTGACAATGGCCTAATATGTTTGGAGTCTACTCCCAGGAGTAAAAGTGATGGCCAAAGAGGCGACCTTATCTACGGCCAATCAGAGCAGGAGAACACTGTTGCCATAGCGTCACGGCAGACATGAATAATGACCCTATCTGTTTATTTTCTTCCCCCTGTGCTCCTCTCCTCCTGCCCTGGAGGAAATCTATTTGAATCAAACACTTCAGGAGCAGAGAGGTGCTCGGACCAGAGAGTGAAGGTGGAGATGTCAAGGGCAGCACAAAAGCTGCAGAGGGAGAGACGGTGCATTGCTGTCAAGAATGGAAAATGATGACGGTAAAAGAAAAAAAAAAAATTGAACGAAGTAAACAACACATTGTATTTGTAAAAACAACCTATTAAAGTTTACTGATTGTGTACCAGACACGGCAGAATTGTAATGAGTCAGAAAAAGAGAAAGACATGCTGCTAACAAATCCCAAACTTAAAGCCAGGGGAGCTCGTATCTATGGAAGAGCAGGACAAAAAAAGGGTAGAGGTAATAGGATTGAGATGCTATAAAAAGGTCGCTAATGAAGGCACACTGGTGCTGCTGTGTAACATCATGGTTATGAGGTCAAGTTCCACTAGGAATCCCTGCACATTTCCCACCGGCCTATGTCCCTGTTGCCCCTGCTTCTACACACCGCGCACTCTCTCACATTGCCTCGCTTGTCTTTACCTCTTCTTTTTTCCGCATTGTTTAATGTCACGGGGCGCTAATTTCATCCAACCATTGCACTGTAAATCTGAGATAAACCTTTCAGTGCACATAAATGAGGCCACAAACAAAAACATGTCTCGGAAAAGGTTGAATGGAGCGCCACACATGACTGTAATGGCATCAACAGAATTACAGACTATTTATAGACTCACACCAGAACCAGGAGCACACATAACAAAACAGATGTTAATAGTGGCCACACACAAGATTATGTCCTTGTCTGTTCCACATGATGAATACTCTATTATTGTAAGTAGAATATATGGACGCCAAACGTGAGAGTGACTCCCGGCGAATGCTCCTTGGTGGCCTACTGAAGGGAAGAAAAGATGAAGGGAGTGAGATATTTATATCTGGAGGAAAGGAAAAGACAATATATGTGCAAGAAATGGAAAGAGAGAAAGAGAGAGAGAGAGAGAGAGCATAGACTGACAAGAGATCACACTTGCACTCTAAAAACAAAGCCAGATCACACTGGATTGTGTGTCTCATGGCACATTGCTGTGTGGCTCAGCAGACACAATAGTCCACACCCCCATCTTATACAGGACAAGGTGACACCAGCCCTCATTAGGCTGTTTGAAAAGATATCTAGGACAAGATTTGGTTTGAAGAATGCCCTCAAAAAAAACAAAAAAAACACCCAATGACAT